GCCTCCTCCTCCTCCTCCTGCTCCTCCTCCACCTCCTTTTCTTCTCCTTCTCTTCTATTTTCTTATTTTTTCCTTTGTTCTTCACTTTCTTTCCTCTATGTACAAGTTCTAATTTTTAAAAAACATTTTATTTTATTTTTAAAGATTTTATTATGTATACAGCCTTGTGCCTGCATGCCAGATTTCATTCAAGGTGGTTGTGAGCCACCACGTGGTTGCCGGGAATTGAACCCAGGACCTCTGGAAGAACAGTCAGTGCTCTTAACCACTGAGCCATCTCTCCAGCCCCCAATCCTTCTGCTATCCTCACTCCTATCCCTTCTCTTCCCTCCCTTTCTGCATGCCAGCCCCTACGAGCTTGAACTCTTAGCCCTAATCTCCTGGACTGTCTCTCAGATTCTGATTCGGCAGACGAGCCACTTCCCTATCAAACTTCATCTGAGACTTCCTTCTATCTCTGTCTCTCGCCCCCTCTTCTCTTAGCCCACCTAATCGCTCATCCTTGGTCGCAACGCACCCCTCTGAGCCATATTTCTTCACTCCGACTTTCCTCATAATCCTGACCACTCAGTCTTCCCGCCATTGCCTTCTTTGTCTCTTTGCTCTACCTGGTCCCTCTTCCTCAGCCCCAAAGTCCACCCCAGAACCTCCTCTTTCACCCCCGTCCTTGCCTATACTTTCCTTTGGTACAGGGTGCACTATCCCACTAACTTGTGTGTCCATGACCTCTATTTTGTGTGTGTACTATTGGAACCATTCCAAAGTTCACTCTTTCCTTAACCGACCACTTGAATCCGAAAAGAAAAAGAAAACATTAAAGGGGACCTGGTTCTTCCAACATCCCTCAGTCCCTACCTGTTACAGGGACTTCTTGGCTGGCTTACCCCGTCTCCTACCCTAAACTTCCCCAGCCTGGTTATTAGGCTGGGCTTCCCCCCTCCCAGCTATACCACCCCCCCTTATATAATTCCACCATTTGGTCACCCTGTCCCTTCCCCTACTCTCTTTACCCTCCTGGCCTCTTGATCTGGCTCTTCCCTTCTCCGTCTCCTCACATGGCTCAGGGGCATGTTCTCTCTGGACTCTCCCAGCTGTCGCTGCCTCTGACTAGGTCTCCCTTTTGCCTACAATAAACCTCCTCCTCCTCCTCCAGCAAACCAGGAGCAGTCATGTCTGAAAAGTTTCTGTAGCCCGGGGAAAAGCCTCCCCGCCCATGCAGCAATCCAAATCAGACCAAATCAAACCCAACTAGGAAAAACAAAAACAAACAAACAAACAAAAAAACACGTTTAATGGACACAGGGCTCCCGGATGGCCTTCCAGTCCCCCAGAGAGGAGCTGGGGAAAGGATGCTGGAAAAACCACTTTTGAGTCTCTTTTCTGGGAGGCAGTTTAAATACCCTGTGGAGTGGTCTTGAGCATCTCTGGGGGAGGGGTCATCATTTGGCGGGCTTTCTGAGATGCAGCAGGGTTTGGAGACATAGGGGGAGGGGGGCTTGGATGTAACTTCCACCAGAACCATGTCCTTTCCTTTTTATTTATTTTTTCATTCACCGAGAAGCAAGTGCAACCTATATTCTGCCCCCTTTCTAATCTCCAAGACAGTGGTGGCATCGTAGTTTCTCATGG